TTGCCCCAATGCTGAGCTGGGCCAGTAGTGTCTTCCTCCAGGGCTGGTGGCAGGAACAGAATCTGTGCAGGTGCTGCAGGAGGTGGAGGTGACAGTATAGCAACAGAGGCTGGAGGCCCAGCAAACCCTCTCTACACCCTGGCTGAGCCCAGTGTGAGGTAGGCGAGGAGGCACCAGGGGAAGATGGGGGAAGGAGGGACATTGATGGAGGAGGGTGCCTTGGGGCACTCCTATTGGGAATGGAGGGAGGAAGAGGGGGTGCAGGCCCATGAGTTTGGGGCATAATAATTGCCCTGGGTGCTGGCAAGCCACATTACGCCACTGGTATAAAAATAGTTTTGCTGACAAATTTTTGTAACTTCTTTTAGATGCTTTGGAATAGCTGAATAGCTCTCTCTGTATGGGTGAAATCTGGCAGCTAAAATTGGCAAGAATGTAGCCATCACATGGGAAAAAATGACTTGGAACTTCACTAGAATCAAAAGGGGGAAAGAAAAACAATACTGGAATTGATTAACCCCACCCTTTCCTCCCACTGCCCTGAGTTTAAATGTGGTTCACAATGCCAGAGGGTGTTAGCACAAGATCTTCCTCCACAGTTGCATAGCTATGTTGTTTGTAAAACTACAATGCAGCTCTAGGATTATGCCATTACAATATAAATGTAATTATTTTCATAGTGGGGATTCATAATAAAGCTGAATTTTAAACCTTCTCTGTTTTTCTACCACAAACCTGCAGGAGGACCCAAAAGTAAAGCCTCGAGTCTAGGTATTACTGGAACGCAATGGCAGTTTTAGCAATGTGAGGTTTGAAAACGGATTAACACGGTGACCAAGTAGGGTAATGATCGCTGGATTTTCTTACAAATGATGTGCTACCAGAGGAAAAATGTTCAGACCTCCCACTAAGTAATGACTGACCATTTCCAGCACATTAACACACTCATCTGGAAAGACTGTGAATATTGGATAATCTGAGTAAGACTTGGTTTCATGATGAGAAAGTCTTTCAGAACTGCCCAGATATATTGCATTACAAAAAAAGGAAATAACCTATGAGCAGGAATATATTCTATAATCTTCACTAATAGTGATGAATGTTGTAGTACAACACAGCTAATAAGGCCCAGGTTAGAGAAAACCTATCATAGCTGTGCAAGCGTTGACTAATCTGCTTAGACAAAAGGAAACCACAATAGTAATAGCTTTCAAAGAAGTAGCCAAGTCAGGGTGCAACTACATTGCCTAAATAAACTGAGAGTTCTGTTACTGCATTGATTCATGTCATGTGCTTTTTGTGCCCCTGTCCCTGCCCTTGTGGGGCTTCCTCAATTGATCTGGGTTGATTCAGTGAGGGGACTATAGTCGTCTTTTAATAGCCCTAAATATACCTGGGGTTTGCACTTTCACCCACCCATGGGTCTGTCCATAACCAACTTGTCTGGGATTAATTTTTTCTCTTGTTTATTCTAAGTGGCATAGTACTGCATCAATGTTGCAGACAGACAGAAAGACCAATGAGATGCAATGCTAATGTTTAATGGTTTATTTAAAAAATAAATGAAAGGGGAACAGTTCAGACAGCAGGCATAATTGCTGATTGCCCAATGGGACAGCATCCCACATTACCTCAAGCACATCACCAAAACATCAGTACAAAGAACGCCCCTGCACACAGAATACAATGACACGGCTGTTCACATAACCAAAAATGGCTCAAAAATGGCTCAAAAACTGGCACAATGTAGAGGAATTTAAAATAAACAATCTTCCAATGGGTGTTTAGAAAGAAATAATTGGAGGAGTACATTGCAATGTAGTCAAGCCCTTAATCTTTCTCAGCATGTTGGTAAAATTAAAAGAGAAGAAAGAAAATAAGAGAGTGTGAGAGAAAGCAAAACATTGTGGGACTTTAAAAACTAACAGATTTCTTTCAGTGTAAACTTGCATGGATCAAAATCTACTTCCTCAGACACATAGAGTACAAATAAAAGTAGATAAGGCTGGAGGGAACTAATACAAGAACACCTGGGAAAACAAAAGTTGCTCAGCTGGTACAAAAAGAAGGACATGGGGGGGAGGGAAATCCCCAAAAATCTCACCAGATGTTGTGGAATTAAAAAAAAATCCCCACTAGGTGAGTAAAAATTAAAGCAGAGATATATGGGGATGATGGGAACTGTGGCCCAATACTTCTGGCTGGTGAAGTGTGGTTAATGGCATCAGTTCACACAGTTATTATTTTAGAGATTCTACCAGTATAATCCTGTGCAATTCTACTTAGAGGTAAGGCCAACTAAGTTGAAAGAGATTTCTTGTTGTTATATGCTGTCAAGTCGCACATGAGTTACCGTGATCTTAGCAGGATTTTCAAGATAAGTCAGATGTGTGTTTTATAATTGCAGCCCTCCAGTGCATTTCTATGGCTAAGAAGGGATTCAAACCCAGATCTCTTAAATCCATCACTCTATCCGCTATCTCACACTGGTTCTTAATGGGACTTTCTCCCAGGTAGATGTGGACAAACAGGACTGTTACTTCATCCCTCTGGGAACTTAAAGTTATTGTAATAATTTACAAACACAAATACTGGTCAGTTGTGAAGCCAGTACACAAGACAGACTTAGAATTTGAGAGTTCTATTGCTAGTGCTGTTGTTTTAACCTGTCTTCTCTAAATTGCTTTGCTATGCTATATCTGGCTTCTGGGTTGCTTTTTTTAGTTTTATAATTGTAGAGGAGCTGGTGCTTATATTTTTCTAGTTTATGCAGTCTGTATTTGAAGAAAGAGTCTGCCCTGCAGACTGCACATAAATTCAAGAAAGAAACTAAAAAGCATCACTGGATAAAATAAAAGAATGCACAAACATGGAAAGATTGAGGGAGGACAATTTGTGTCCAGCCTGCTCAGTTTCTGAAATAGAAGATTTCCATTTTAAATATCTTGCCTCTGAAATAACTAATGTGGTTTTAAATATTTATTTTGATTGAGTTTGTTTATTTAAAATATTTTTACCCTGCCTTTATCCTTAAGGCAGCTTACATAATTAAAAGACAACATTAAAAGCTAAAAATAATAAGTATACAATTACTAAAAAGGATCAAACAAATGCACACAAAAAGATGGTGAACAGAAGCAATATCAAAACACATTCACATTGAGGATTGCACCCTTCCTTTAATTTCGCAAGGTATATAATGTAGATCCATTGTAGCAAGACACAAGTACTGTATGTTTATTTGAAATTCTGGATGTTATTTTGTAAATCTGGTGAAGTGGACTATAGTCTATAAAAGCTGAATAAATAAGTTCATGTTTTAAGAGTCTTTGTTGCTTTAGCCATATTTTAACTTCTGACAACTGATTTAGGCTCCTGCAATCCAAAGCACACTTATCCAAGTAAGCCACAATGAATACAATCAGATTTATATCAAAGTCAACATGCACAAGACTGAACTCTCAGCCATTATTTCTGTAGCAGTCCAGAAATAGAGTTGGGGAGGCATCCATGGGAGGGAGGATGGGAACTTCCAGGGTCAACACTACCATTAGGCAGAGTGCAGCAACAACATTTCCGGCAGGAGCAGGTCCTGGAAAGAAGCAGCAGTAGCCTCGCAAGCCATCCTTCTTTGTTGAAGAGGAATATTGGTTTCATTTTATTTCAGCACTGGCAATCGGACAGTTTGCTACCCTGCATCTAAGACTGCAAATTAGCTTATAGGGTGTTGTGATGTGCCCCTGCGTGTCCCCAGATTATTTCACTAGCCTGAGGCCCATGATACATTCCCTCCTTTACACTGCCACCAGTTGATCTCTGTCAGCAATGTTCAATTAGAAAGATTGAGGTCCATGCTGAGTGTAAAGTTTAACAAAAACAGTTTTGGTTGTGGGTTTTTCGGGGTCTTTGGCCGTGTTCAGAAGGTTGTTCTTCCTGACGTTTCGCCAGTCTCTGTGGCTGGCATCTTCAGAGGACTGGAGTAGGAACTCTGTCCATGCTCAACAGAGGTCTATACAGACTTTTTTTGTTGTTAAGAGGAGGGCAAAGATGCATAATGGCATGTTTGTGCTGTATAATGGGCCAGCATAGTATAGACCGCTACAATGTATCTGTCCAAGCAGTAAAAATTCAGTTCTTCAAATAACCTCCAGTTTATGTGTGGGATATTGTGCTTCTATACTCACTTTTCAAAAAGGCAGGAAATGGCCTAAAATTTTGTAGCAATATCATGCCCACTATCCAGCAGGAAAAAGAATGCCAAGCTTTACATAGCAAATGACAGCTTGAATATTGAGACTATTCATATCAGCATTCAAAATGGTCAACAACAGTGGTTCCCGACCTTGCACTGCATTTCCCAGAACTCTTCCCCACAAACTGTGCATGCCAGAGTTGTTGAGAGTTGCGGTCCAAGGACACCTGGGTTAAACAAGGTAGGGAGCCTTGACCACTGTTCGCAAAGACACCAAGTAGGTGCTTGATCTGAAGTATGGATTAAAAATTACACTATTTTTTTTTGTTTGTGCTACCCCTATTTTTAAATTGCCTTACAGAATGCTGATTTGAGATAAGAGGATGGAAAGAGAAGCTAAAAGAAATGTGTTGCTAGACAGAGAAGGAACGTTTGACGCTCCTTTGTGAGAGAAGTGGAAACGTGCCTTTGTTGTTTTTCACCTGGGAAAATCTGGCAAGGAGGCCGTATTTTTCCCTCAACGCGGGGCGAAAAAGGGCGGGAAGGTGGTGGGCAAGTACAGTTCGGATTGAGAAAACAGCACGGAACAGATAGGGTTGATTCCACACCAGAACCCCAGACCCGTTCCGAATGGATTAAGAAAAGGGCGGGAGAGGCGGCCGAGCTTCGTCCCCTCACAGAGCAGGCCCTCTCCGACATGGCCGGAATTGGCAAGCGGACCAACTCAGCCACACCCGGAGCGGAGCGATGCGCCTCCGTCTCCCCCTCCCCCCCCCCAGGCGCGCCTTTGCGATGAATCACCCGAAACGCCCCGGCCTCGGAGGGGAGGTTTCCTACGAGGCTACTTGGCTGGCCCGCCGGCAGGGTGGCGTTTCTAGTCGACGGAGCAGCAGCCCCAGCCACGGCGGGAGAGAACCACCATGTCTGGGATTGCCGCTAAAGTCGCAAAGGACCGGGAGGTCGCCAAAGGGCTGGGCTCCAACAAAAGAGCCGTCAAATACTTAAACCAGGACTTCCAGAGGCTGAGGGAAGAGCTCCTGGAGGCAGGGAAGCTCTTCCAAGACCCCTCTTTCCCTGCGGCTGCCTCTTCTTTGGGGTACCAGGAACTGGGGCCAAACTCCTACAAAACGAAGGGCATCGTCTGGAAGAGACCGACGGTAGGAGACCGGGGTTATGTCACGCCCCGTTTTGGGGAGAGAGGGAACGACGGAGGACGGGGAACGCGAGTGCGGGGGACAACGGGGAATCCTGGGATTCCCTAGTCTCTTGGGAATGGAAAGCGCAAGGAGTGAAGGAGACGCGGAGAAGTGGCGTCTGAACGCAAATCGCGGCGTTAGCGCCCCGCCCCCTTTCCCTCCTTTCAAAGTACAGTATATAAAAAATAACTGGTTTTGGCTGTCTGAAATTTCCATTTAGAAGTCCCCACAGTGCATGAACCAAATAACTTCTCCCCTTGCCCAGGAAGGTGTCCGATCGTCTTTGTGCAGTTTTTGAACCAGGTCACTCCTGAACTGGCCTGGATTCTGTTTTGGATCTGGGATTGTTGGCTCTGGCCAGTGCCCGTGAAAAATGGGAAGAAAAGGGTGGGCAGGACAAAGAAAATGTAATTCTAACTCTCAGGATAATCTCATGCAGACTAGACATCATTTCTTTGGGTGCTACATAAGAACGATAAAAACAGAATTAAAGCTTAAGGAAGAGGTCTATGTACCTTGTAGTTTGTGGCTCTCCAGATGTTGGCTTCCAACTTCCATTTTTTCTCACTGTTGCTGGCTGTTGTTGTTGTTTAGTCATTAAGTCATGTCTGACTCCCCGTGACCCCACGGACCAGAGCACACCAGGCCCTCCTGTCGTCCACTGCCTCCTGGAATGTGTTCAAATTGAAATTCAGTTGCCGGCTGTGGTTGATCATAATTGCAGCCCAACGATATTGGGGGGCACAAGTTGACCACCTTTGACCGAGTTTGTCATTTACCATTTTTTAGCCAGTCTGTCGTGTTCATGGTGAAAGTGCTGGTGTGGGGGAGATTGTTCTGTATGGATGCCGTGGAGCTAGTATAGCTTAACAAAAGTCATGATTGTCCTTTCGGCATTCAGGTACATGCATACTGCCAAAACACAGAGCAATTAAGTTCAAATGTCTGCTCTGGGAAGTGCCAATAGGTGTCCTCCCAAATGCTACAGTAATTGGGAGGTACAGCAGCGAACTAATCCAACAGAGTCCACCTTTGAGTTATTTAAGCTCACTGCTTCTACTGTCTTTGTTGTGCATGGAATATTGGCTAGAAAGAATATAAGAATTTAGGTAAACATCTGCACAGAGGTGAAAGAAAAGTCAGGTGCTGCACAAGACAGATACTAGTGCAACATGGAGGGTAACAAATATGAATCAAGGTGAACTGGAAACTGTAAAGCAAGAAATGAAATGTTTAAACATTGGCAGTGCTTTGTGTATGTTAACTAAAGTGGAATGCAACATTTTCAGTCAGACAACTACAATGTGTTTTACTGTATTCTAGAAATGACAAACTCAGAAAAAATGGAGCAGCTCTAATAATGAAGCAAGCTGTAGAATGGGCAGTTAGGAGCTATAATGCAAGGTCTGACCAAGCAATGTCAATCAGACTCTTGGGAAAATCCAGCAACATAACCATCATCCAGGTCTGTTCCTGAACTAAGGACTGATTGATATACATTAGTGCATAGCACTATTCTGGGCAGTTAACAATAAAAATCTGAAAAAGTGAAAGAAAAATAAAATAATACAGTATAAACAAAGAATAGAGAAAACAATTAATTAAACAGCTGTAAGGCAAGATGGTGCAGCATTTCCAATAGGCAGCAGAGCACAAGGGAGATACTGAAGAAGATGAAATTGAAAGCTTTTATGCAAGCATCTGGGAGGAAATTGGTCACATGCCAAAACAAGGCATGCTTATAATCAGAAGTGACTAGAATGCAAAAATTGGAAACAAAACAGAACCAAAGATTTTTGGAGAATTTGGCCTGCGGGTCAGAAATAAAGCAGGAGAATGAACCACAGAATTATGTAAAGCCAACAATCTTTTTATCATACATACATGATTCAAGAAACCAAACAGATGGCTGTACATCACTAGATAATCAATATACAAATCAAATTGACTATGTCAGGAACTGAATGTGGTACTGATAATTAACTGCAATATCAAACATTAGAGTAAAGCTGAAGAACAATAAAAGAATCCTAGTGCCAAAAATGTAATTTAAACACCATTTCTGATTAATTTAAAGTTCTTATAAGGATCAGATTAGCATTAATAAATACAATTGACTGTGAAACAGAAGAATTATGGGTTGGAATGGGATATTACAGTATTAGGGAAAGACAATTCCTGTTGTAAAATAAAAAGATAAATCTAGATGGATGACAGAAGAAATACTTAAAATTGTAAAGGAGAGGCAAGAAGCAAAAGTAAAAGGTGACAGAAGTAGGGTCAAAATCCTGAACACAACTTTTCACTTACTGTCACATAGAAAAAACCATTAAAATGGCCAGTACTAAATCTGAGAGAGGAAAACTTCAAGAATGGCCTAATGTAGCCTACAGAAGTTCCCTCTCTGGCCCACCACACTTTTGCTGCCATCTCTGATGACTGAGATAAGGAGCTTTTTAAAGCCCAGAAAACTCCTGCAAGGACCTGAGTTGTAGTTTGCCACCCAGAAAGCTTTTGCAGGGAAGTATGTTCTTTGTTGTAGCCTAAACAAGTGTGGCACTGGAACTTATTTCTGAGTTAAGACACATGGAGCAGGAATGTTTGCACTGAAGACTCTCCCCTAAGTAAGATATTCATAGAAGGACTGAACTTTTCTTGAGGTAAAAAAATGTCCAAATTTCTAAGAACTCAATCTTGTTCCATAACATGTAGAATCTGAGTATTATGGTTGGGGGCAGGGATTGCTCACTGTGCTGGTTTTGGTGACACTCCCATGGTGAGTATAGTGTGCACAAATTCTGGTTTAGTTCTCTTTTGCTAGCAATCTTGCATAGTCTGTTTCTGTTTAGCCAATGGGTGTATGTTTTACTATTCATGCCCCTAACCTAACCTGTTCTCCATGATTTGTCCTGCATTGTGAAATATTCCTGCTTTTAAATTTTCAGGAATGACAACAGACCTTAATCTCTTTCACTTCCTTGTGTTTTATCGGTGGGGATTCTATGGCCCTCCATGTATTATTAGAATCACATCAGCTATGCCCAGCATGGCCATTGATGAGGGACAAGGTTTACAGATTTCCCACAGGTATAATTAAGCCTAATATCTCTCTAATCTTCAGTGCCTTGCCCTATCACCTCATCCACCTTTGAGGCATCTTCTTCTCTGTCCTTTTGGTGGGCATAATTTACAGAAGGAAAATTGAATACAACTATTTATTTATGTGTTTTTATTTTTCATTTACAAAGCAGAAAGAGTTCATTTCACTTGTGAGGTAGCCCCCCTTTTAACAAAATGGATTCTTTGGCTCATCTGTCTGCAGCAACTTTAAAGAGAATTAGGAGAATATCGGGTGGGGGAGAATTAATACATGTTTTTGAGAGGACAAGCCATCCAGAGCTGCAGAACTTTATCAATATGCTCTTTGAAGACAGGAAGGCCAGTGGAGGCAACTGTTTGTTCAAGGATTTGGTCTGAAAGAGCCAGTTCAAAGTTTCCTTTGCTGCACCCATTGCATGAGGGCAGTGTGTTCACACTTCCAATGAGTACATCTGTCAAAAAAAATTAATTCACTTTTAATAGATATTCAGATTTTTTTACAGTTGCAAAAATGTACAGCAAAACAATGTATGTTACATTTTACTAAAAATGAAGAATAAGACCTTGTGGCTCCATAAACAAGCAATTTTTGATGCTCAGGTTTTTGATGCTGTTTCCTTTGTAGGCAAAAGAAAGAACTAGCTTAGTGGCACGCTCAAGATTTTGCAGAAGGACTGAAATCTTTAGGGAGGAAATGTAAAGGGGAGAGGTTGTACCATGCAGCCTAGAATGGACCAGCTGTTGGAAGAGAGAAAGGAATGGAATATCCAAGAGGGACGAACAGAACAGGAACACTCAGGTCACATTCATATATATGAAGAGAGAGGGAAATGTGATGATATATGAAGCCTGTAGTGGGGGAAATTACTCCTTCTCTTGTTTCCCAGCACAGTTTTTTACCAATTAAAACAGAAAAACATTGTCTCCCATTGTCTCAATCCCTGAGCTAGATCAGAGATAGTTCCAAATCCAGGAGTTGGGAAGGGGTTAAGATGCAGCGCCCGTTCCATCAGCATTTTCTCCCAATCCCCCATCCTGTTGCTTATATCCAGGATCCTAAGATATGCAGTTAGAATTGTATTTTGAACAAATAACTGGACTGAAGTTAGAATTTTAGAATTAGTTGGGAGTTATTGGGGCCTATGGAAGGGGCCCGTGAGTCCATTGAATCCAACTTCTTGATCAATGCAGCAATTCAAGTTGAAGTACATCAGACAGATGGCTGTCTAAGTTTCTCTTGAATGCCTCCAGTTTTGGAGCTGTCACCACCTCCTGAGGTAATTGGTCCATTTCATACTGCTCTAGCAGTTAGGAAGTTTTTCCTGACATTCATATGAAATCTGGCATCCTGTAACTTGAGCCCATTATTACATGTCCTGTACTCTGGAATGATTAAGAACAGATCCTACCTCTCCTCTGTATGACAGCCTTTCAAATATTTGAAAAATGCTATATTGTCTTCCCTCAGTTATCTTTTCTCAAGGCTAAACATGCCCAGATCTTTCATCCCTTCCTCAAAGGGTTTGGTTTCCAGTTTCTTGATCATCCTTGGTGTCCTCCTTTAAACTTGTTTATTTATTTATTTATATTCGACTTGTATGCCGCCCACACTCTGCAAGAGTCTCCGAGCGGCTAGAGTCCCCAGTTTATACTAATCTAGCTTAAAATGTGATGTTGAAAACTGGACATAGTGCTCACTATAAGGTCTAATTAATGCCAAATAGAAGAGAACTAGTACTTCACATAACCTGGATATGCCGCCCACACTCTGCAAGAGTCTCCGAGCGGCTAGAGTCCCCAGTTTATACTAATCTAGCTTAAAATGTGATGTTGAAAACTGGACATAGTGCTCACTATAAGGTCTAATTAATGCCAAATAGAAGAGAACTAGTACTTCACATGACCTGGAGACTATACTTCTGTTAATGTGGCTAAAATAGCATTTGCCTTTCTTCCAGCAGCATACTGCTATTTGTTCATATTCAGCTTGTGATCAACAATTTTGTGATCCTTCTTTCATGTGATATTGCCAATCCAAATATCTCCTTTGTACCTGTATGTTTGTTTCTTTCCCACCCATGTGTAGAACTTCCCACTTATCCTTGTTAAATTTCATTATTTTGTTTTCAGCCCTGTGCTCAAGCCTATCATGATCTTTTTGAATTTTGTTTTGGTCTTCCAGGATAACCCAATTCACAAATTTGATTGAAAACATCTGATTTATTTTTTAAAATGTTTTTATTAACACTTGATTATGTGCTTTTAATTGGAAGGCTGATCTGCAATCTTAATAGGTGGTTCACAAGTGGAACTAGGAAACAGGGTGTTGCGGTGTGGAATTCTCACACTTTGATACTGTCAAGAATGCCCCTCCTTAAAGGGAGGTATTCCACTAGGGGAAGATGCCATCTCTAGTCCCAGGTTCCACCACCCTTTGAAACCTGGGCTGTGTGAAACCTAGAAGGTGAATGAATGGGCAACTATGCTCAGTCTTCTAACCCTAGATTTCCACTTATCTATCCCCTTATTCTGAGACAAAATTTTGTTGGCTGTGTACTTTAAGACTTGCACTCCATTCTGACGAGGTAAGACACGCAGATAACAAAAATAGCCAGCATAACCCTGTGGCTAAGGCACTTTCTTTAGACACTCAAGCCCTTGGTTCCCCAAGAACCACACTTCGGTAAAATATAAAATAAGATTTATTTAAAAATATGAAAAAGGGTATAAAGCGTAAAGTATTTAACAGAGATACAAATGGTAATGTTAGAAAGCAAAGCCTGTAAAGGATTAGCTGAGTTCATGGAACAAACCCCAATAAAACAATAAAATCTGGCTAATTGGCCCCTAATTGCTTTAATAACTGATTACAGTACTACCATATGTTACCATTGTTAAGTCTCCCAATCAATCACTGAAGGCTGTGAAATTGCCAGTTTCATCTCCTTCCTCTCTCACCTCCCCTCTCTCTGGCCCCCTTTCTGTAATGTAAATCAAGTCTCTGCATAGTGATGGTATCCAGTCAGCTTAAAGTTCTTTGTTCATAAGTCCACACCCCTTGAGGAGAGTTCTTGGCAGAAGAAACAAATCTGCTTGCCTAGGCAGACAAATGGCACCTGTGCAGACTCTGAAAAACAAGTACTACAATGCCCATTTCCTAACAGGTGCTTTGGACTTTATCATCCGGAACCCCTGACAATTGGCCATGTTAGCTGTTGTTTCTGGGAGTTGATGTCCAAAATATCCGAAACACTGTCCATTCATTAAGTTGTGTCTTCCTGTATAATACTCCATTCTATCCAGATTATACACAAGCATAATGAATGGATACCACAAATAGCCAAAAAAAAAAAAAACCCCCACAAAAACAAATAAGTGGCCGCTAGCTTAAACAAGCCCTATCTTTGTCTAGAGACAAAAATGATTGAACTGAAACAATCATACTTCAGGCACATGATGAGAAAACAAGACTTTGGAAAAGGCAATAATGCTGGGGAAACTTAAGTTAGCGTGAAAAGAGAAAGACCAAATTCAAATTCTCAGTTCAAAAAGGACGTTGACAACCTGGAACGTATCCGGAGGAGGGAGACTGAAATGGTAAAATGTCTGGAAGCAATGTTCTACGAGGAGTGGCTTAGGGAGTTGGGAATGTTTAGCCTTACAAAAAGAAGATGGAGAGGGGACATGATAGCCATGTTTAAATATTTGAAAGCACGTCATGTTGAAGAGGAGACAGGTTTGTTTTCCAGGGCTCCAGAGACTAAGACACGGAGCAATGGTTTCAAACTACAGGAAAAGAGATTCCATCAGAGCATTAGGAAGAATTTCCTGATGGTCAGAGCTGCCTCGAAGGGTGGCGGAACCTCCAAACCTTCTTTGGAGGTTTTTAAGCAGAGGCTGGATGACCATCTATTGGGAGTACTTTGAAGGATGTTTCCGCATGGTGGGGGGTTGGACTGGATGGCCTCAATTGTCTCTTACAACTCTATGACTCTAAATATGAGATGAGTTGACTCTATAAAGGAAGCCAGAGCCCTGAGTTTGAAAGACCTGAGCAGGACTGTTAATGCTCTGACCTTTTGGTGGTCACATTAGGTTGCTATATGTTGAAAGTGACTTGATGGCAAAGAACAACAATATGTGGACTTAGACTGGGGTGGGCAACTGTGGCCTTCCAAATGTTTTGACTTCAAGCTCCCATCATCATTAGGAAGCATAGCTTAATGGCAGGGGATTGGAAGTGAATTGATGGCACATAGCAATCCAAAGCACATTTCATTTGCATGTATGATTTAGTGATTCACTAAATCTGTCAAAATTATATCTCTGAAACCAAACTAGATTTCAGCTTTTAGTACTGACAGTAATGTATATGGTCTTCAGGTGTTTATACTTTTTGCCAGATCCCCTGTCATGCCAAGACATATTCCAATTTATTGCCTGCTTTTTGAAAACTGACAATATTTCTGAACCTTTGCTTAAAATTCCCTTGCTCGTTTTTGATGTTTTATGTTTATCATGTCCTCTCCACCTGCTTTCTAATTAGAGTTGTTATTTCACTGAAGGGAGGAAAAATAATGAAAAGAAACTAGTCATTAAAGCCCCCATCTTTGGAGAACAGAAACTACGGAGCAATTCATCAGTAATTCCCAAGACATGCTGAACATTAATCAGTAGCGGGTTAGAAGCTGCAAGGGGGAAGATTTTGATTAAAGGCACACTAGCCATAAATCAGATTTGAACAAACATGGAAGAGTAACAAGAAAATGTTGGAAGGTATCGCATCTAGCAGTGACTTTGTTTGTGTCCTCTGTAAAAAGTAAACAAAGGATGACTGATTGGGAGAAATGAGCTAGTGTGGAAGTAGACTCAATAGCTGCTTTCTGTCTCACTCAGTAAAATATCATTCTTCTTTCTGTCTGAAGCCCTGAACACAACTGGGCATCTTAAATCACACTGTCTTCAATGAGATTTAATCAGCCCACCTGTGTATGAAACTGGTTTATGATGATAAGGCATGTTGATAGTTTTCCATTGTAAAACATGGTCTTAACACTTCCTAGACTAGCATGTAATGCCAAATATTATTTGGTCTCATCACAGATTAGCCTGGATGTCCATATCTTTAAATGAAATATCTCATGGGTTTCTTCTTATTTTTTCCTTTGCTAGGAATTATGTTCCAATCCTCAGTTTATTGTTGGAGGGGCCACCCGGACAGATATCTGCCAGGGAGCTTTAGGTAAGATGAAACTGTACACTTCACTTCCCTATTGAAACCTTATTAATATAATGTTTACATTGAGTAAATACTGCTCTCTCTGTATCTGATGTGGTCCCTTGTGTGCCAGATTGTTCACTGTCTTTAATGGAATTTTCCTTATCTTTTGCTATTGTCGTTGCCATTCATTGTGATTTCGAGAATTAGTGAGGAACCCAGAGGATCCTATGTTATAGGTCTGATGTGTTAAGCAAGCAATCCCTTTTTTTGTGAAGGCTGGGGACATTAAAATTATAATGGAAAACTATTTCGGATATTGTGGCATATCATCTAGAAAGGTTTTGGATGCATAATTGCCTCTTGCTCTGCATTTGGTTTAATATACTGTATTTAATATCCAGTACATTCTGTGTCCATGTGTCTGCTTTTCATGATATTTCAATGATACCAACTTCTTTATCCTTTTCATTTGCTAGTTATTTGTGTGTGGGTACAACCCAGCGGGGCTGATTCCCTAGGAAATGTAGTTTAGGATTGCATTCTTAGTATCTCTCAGAGCGTACAGTTAATTCTGGATTCCTTATAAGAGTGTGTGCTTTTCTTTATTGATGTGACTGCCATATTTCCTAAGAATGTAAGAACATAAGAAGAGCTTTGCCAGATCAGAATTAAGCTCTTTAGTCCAAAGGCCTGTTTTAAAGTGTTGTGATAGAACATTGTGTAAGCCTAATAGCTGTTGGACTTTGGAGTACCTCAAAGTAATGTATGCCCCTTGCTTGTTCTTTTTGGCAACCATGTGAAATCACTGCAGACGTTGTTGGGAGGTTCGGGTTAATGTGACATCAGAATGCAGATGAGACGCCTCTCTTTTCTACCTACTAGTCCTGAGGAAATGACTGGAGGCAGTGTGTGGATGGATGAGGGCAAACAAGTTGATGCTTAATCAAGATATGATGAAAGCTCTGTAGCTAGAAGTCTGCTGATCTGAATGAAAGCTTGTGCTGGTTTTGGATAACAATACACACACACCCCTTGCAAAACCATGTTTTAAATTTGAGAGTTCTTCTGGATGAAATGCTGTATATAGCAGAGTAATCACTTGTATTGCTCAGCAAGTGATGTTAGTGGATTAGAGTGTCTTTGACCAGGTTGGGTGAGTTCTTAAACTATAATCCTTTCTAGTGAAGTGGACGTTGCCTCTGTCGCATGCATCTTGTTTACATCTGTGCTTTCAGTGGAACAGTGGCAGTGTGCTTTGCCCATGTACAGAAACCTGCTTTGAAGATTCGGGATTAACCCGACCCATCTACATTAGAGATGGATGCTGTATGGCCCTCCATATGTTGAACTGCAACTCCAGTCATCCCTTGTCTTTGGCTATGCTGTCTGGAGCTTGTGGGAGTTGCAATATGACAACATCCTGAAGGTCACCAATTGTCCATTCTGATTTAAGTATTATTTGCAAACTAAGATGTGTGGAAATTCACTGTTGCCCTTCTGAGTTTAATTTTCCATCTTCATGGTTTTGCCATCTGGAAGTCAGGGAAGCTCTGAAGGAAGACTCTGTGTTCAAGAACAACATGCTTAGCCACAGACTGGTGCCAGGGGATATGCTCCAGTATGCCTTCTGTTTATATGGTGGCTTGTTGCTCATCTTGCCAGTAATAACTAGACTTTACCAAACATAGACACGCATAAACACCAGTTTGTTGAATGAAAAACATCTATGGACGACTAAGCTCAACGTTCTCAAGTTCAATAAACATGCCTCTGTCAAAGTCAACTTTGTGTGATGTATCAACACCTTCAGAGACCTCTTTCTATCCAAAAGCTGAACAGTCTAGAGAATCTCAAGTAGTGGTTCACAGTGAAAACTAGTGTTGCTATACCATTACCAAGCAGTGGCTGAAAACAGCAAGTAGGAAGTAATTCTTGTTATCAGTGCTGATCAGCAGAGGGATGGTGGAACCACATGCCACTTTGCAAATGTTGCCTGTGTGCATGTACTTGTGCTGTCTCTTCTGTCCCCACCCCATCTGACTTTCAAAAATAGTACACCTGTAAATAACCTTAGTGAGTAACCATTAACCATGGTATACTACTACTACTACTACTACTACTACTACTACTACTACTACTACTACTGATGATGATGATGATGATGATGATGATGATGATGATGATGATGATGATGATGATGATCCATCAAATCAATTTTGACTCATGGTGACCCTTTTCAGAGTTTTCTAAGTAGAGAGTACTCAGAAGGGGTTTACGATTCTTTTCTTCTGGGAGCACCCTGGGACTGTGGAACTTGCCAAAGGCCACATAGGTTGGCTTTTCCTCTAGGAGGCACAGTAGGGAATAGATTCCCAACCTGTGGCTCTGCAGCAGATACTTAAAGCACTGAGCTAGTCAGGCAACTATAACATGGTTACATAGTACTATAAGAAAAAGGCTACATGGATTTATATAGATAACGATCTATTTTTATTTTTGCTGAAGAGAAGACATCTACAATCAAAATCAGAGGGGAAACGCCCATTTGTTTCAGAGAGCCTTGCTATGATACCATGGCAATGTCCTCTGAAACCAAACATAAATTTTGAACGAACTTCCTTCCTGTGCAAAACCATTGTCTCCTCTCTTCCATCAAAATGACTCACAACATCCTATGAGCTTTGCAGATGCATTTAGTTGTGTAATTCCACATCAGGAAAACACATAAAGCAATATAAACATATAACCTTTTGAAAAAGCACTTCTAAAAAGTTGCTAAAAGGGAAATTATGTTTGATGGTTTTTAATAAAACTCTTACGAGTTCTATACTGCAAGAAACTTCATGTAACGATATAGTAAGTGAGAAATATGTCTGAATAACTATCCTTAAAAAATAACTGTAAACCGTAAAACCCCATAGAACAGGTTGAGTGACAGCATTTAATTACCACCCCAATTCAGTTTTTTGCCATATCATTGTCATGAATTATTGGCAAATATTAAAATGAAGTACACATGGTGGTCTGCAGCACTGAGAATTAAACTGCCTACTGTGCTGAAATACACAGCATGCAACTTAAGAGTTACTTATCTTTTTATTCACTAGTCAGCACATGGGGAACTGATTCATATAGGGCCCTTACAGTGTGTGGTTGAAAAAACCTTTAGCATTTTTCCCCCTCTAAATTCAACTCCCCAGTAGGGTCTTTAAAAACAGGGGAAATAAAAATCCATTGACATTCTACCCATTAAAAAAAATTTCCCTGGAGTATTGGGCAGATATAAGAGATTTAGGAGAGGAGATTAGAGCCTTCCCCATATATGTGTGTGTGCGCGCCTATTTATGAGTGAAGAAGTAGGTAAAATATGCTTGTGACTTTTAAAAAGCTACTAATTCTAAGCAGCACCTTTTCATTTAAAGTCATTTGTGTTGGGGGTTCTTTGGTTTTTTGTCAGGACAGCTCATACACGCAGACATGCACAGCCCTCCGTGGTTATCTTGGTGCTACAGCTAGGGGACCTTCAGGTGTAAAGCTACAATTCTGTGATCCCTAGGAAAGGGCATCCCAGAGACTTTAAGACAGGGGTAGGCAAGGTGAGACTTCCAGATGTTGAGCTACATTTCCCACCATTCCTCACCATTGGGTGGGTGGATTCAGGTTCAAGGGCGTCTCAGCCCAATAGTGTTACATTTTGCTCACCTGTGCTTTACAGTACAGTAGTAAAGAGTTTCCTCTCTGTGAGTGAAAAGGGAGGTCCCCAGGCTAAGAAAGAGGCCTAATGCTAGAGCTGCACCCACCATTGCCTTTTTATGTTCTAGCAGATGAGGGTGAAATGGGAGTGCCAATAAAGGAAGAGGGAGAACATTGAATCCACAGAATCCAAAGTTCTCCTACTCTGCCGATACCCCCCCTAACAAGGACAAAAATGTTTATCATTTCTGGAGCTGGCGTGCTTGTTTTCACTCCTATGAGTGTCACTGGAAATGAATAGAATTGAAAAGGTGAAATAGTTTGGGGCACATCAGAAATTCTCTCTCTCTCACACACACACACACACACACAAATACACACACACACACATCTTCTGCTTTAGCCAGTACATACTGGTGCCACTGGTGTTTCCTCTGCTATGGATACCTCATATCCTGCCTCTAATGCTATGTTCTGCTATCTGACTCTAAGGGGGGTGGCTGGTAGATTAGTTAGATTGACAACTCCATATATTTGATTTGTATGGTTCTACAGTGGCCTTGGAACCAGTTAATCCACTTCCTCAGTGTATGCTCCTTTGATCTGGATGGAGAAACCTTTTGGGTGGGGGGAATGAAACAGTTTCTTCCCTCACAAATATCTCTAGAGAAGATGATGCTGAAGTTAGAAGAAGCAAAATTAATTCCCCTTATCATAGTGGTTCTTCTGTCTAGATATTACCAGAGCAATACACTGCAGGACCTATTCAAAGGGGTTAGCTTAGAAGTTATTATATACCTAATTTATTAGAACCAGCTGTTTATTCATTTCTCTGGCCCAGTGTATACTAAATCGGTAGGAGCACTGTCCCTCAAAGGACCTGGGCCAGAGCACAAATAACTGGTAGAAGGACATTGTGCACCACCAACAATCTAAGACCACCGGAAGAGTTTAGCAAGTGATTCTGCTATGTCAGAACTCATTCAGCATCAGCAGTGCCTTGTTTTATGGCAGATACTGTTTTTATTTTCCTACTCCTAACTAGGGTTTAAGGAGGAATGATCTTGAGACAGCAGATACACACTGCATTTCTGGATTTGGCTGAAAGCCAAGCTTGATGCTGTCTCTGTTCCTGGGATCCAAAATGTATATCCTTCTGGAAGACACTGAGTTCCCTAATTCCACAGCCACTGTATGATGTACCTTTCAGGGTGGTAGTGACTGGAATCCAGTAGTGCTTTGCAACTAGAATATGCTCCTTGAATCACAAGGGATTTGGTGAGTCAACTCCACCATTAGTTCCACTGATTCAAAGGGTCTACTCTTATTGCAACTTACTACTGCCAGAGTTTCTTTACTGATCTTCTTTCTTTAGGTCTCAGTGTGTGTGTTGGGATCAGCTGGTGGGATTTTATTCAGTACAGTGCCTGCAAAAAAAATCATTTTTTCTTTTTCTTTTCCTTAGTTTTCTTTCTACTGTTATTGTTATTAATTCTATCTTAACAATTGTACAAATTACATTGGGTATATAAAAGAGATAAAAATTCAAGAATGCTGATCTGATTTCCTTTGGAGAGTAGGCATCCTTCAGTCTCAAGAGACTATGGTAACATGCTCTGAATAGAGGTCTTGGAACAGCATCGCGTTTGGCTGAGAAGGCCAATTTGAGAGTGACAATCCCTTCTGCACTGAAGACAAATACAGTGGTGCCTTGCTTAACGATTGCCTCGTTTAGCGATGAATTCGCATAACGATGTGTTTTTTAGAAAATAATATGCATCGCATAACGATGTTTCCTATGGGCGATTTTCGCTTAGCGAAGTTTGGGACCATGCTTCGCATAACGAATGCGATTTTAGGTCCCCTGCTTCACTTAACGATGTTTTTTTTTCAATTAAAAAAGTGTCTTAGAAGGGTCAAAAACAGTTCTAAATGCTTGGATTCGTTAGAGGACCCCTTAAGTCATGTGCAAACCTGATTTGG